ATACTGTCTGAATCCCGTGAGAACTCAAGGGGAACTCAGGCAGCAGGATACGCCCTATTCCCAGCAGGAATAATCTTAAACCTTAAACCTGGAACCTAAACCGGGAACGCCTTAATCCGCCTTGGTCCCTGAGCAAGGTCACCTACATTCAATGTCACTGCAAAATGTCCTATTTCCACGAGTCCTTCCACTAAGCAACATGGGGTACGCTGGCAAGGAAATTGTCATACCTACTTGGCTAATGGCTCCCAGCAGACTATTATGACTAAGATTACTATAAATATTATTGTACATATATTTTGGTGAAATTTTTAGGTCATTGAGTATGCATGTGTTTCTCTCTAGTAGGTAATGCAAAACAGTTTTCCAAAATAGTTTGTAGCAATTTACACTAATCCTAGCACATTATAAAAATCCTAGTTACTCTAGATTACCACAGACACTTGGTATTGTCAATATTTTCCATTTCAGCCATTTCTGTGGGTATGTAGTATTATGTTCATTGTGATTTTAATTTTCATTTCAATGATTTGCATTCATTAAATGGATATTTAGATATCCTCCTTTGTGCATTTCTGTTAAAGTCTCCTTTTCTGTTGAGAGATATCAAATTTTTAAAATTATTGATTTGTATTTTAAAAATATATTATAGGAGAAAGTCCTCTTGAGATTATATATGGGCAAATTTCTGTTTTTATCCTGTGACTTGCTTTTTCACTCTCTTACCACTCATTTTCTTCATTTTAATGTAGTTCAATTTATTAATGTTTACCTTTTTGCTAAGAGCTTTGTATCCTAATTAGAGAATCTCAACTTATACCCAAGGCCACAAAAATATTCTCCTGTTGTAGTCTAGAAAATATATTATTTTGCCTTCCACTTTTAGATTTATAATCCATGTGAAATTGGTTTGAGAAAAGGGCCAAATATTTTCCCCCATGAGTATCAAACTGATTTACCTCAATTTCTCAGAAAACAAAAGTCTTTTTTCTATTGTCCTAGAAGAACCCCCACCCCTTTTTTAAAAATCATGAATCAAGTGTATTTTTATGTAGGTGTGTTTATAATTGGCCTGTTTGTCTATTTTTGCACCAATTTAGCACTATATTACAGAGCCTTATACGATGTCTTGATAACTGGTAGAATAAGTCCTTCTCCTAATACTGGAACATATGTATCTATTTATTTTGATCTTTAATTTCTCATAATCAATTTATGTTTTGCTGGAACTCTTACATATTTTTATATCAAAACAAATGATATTAATCTTTCCCCCACAATCTATAAATTTATACCTGTCCCAATTAAAATCCAAGCAATTGTGTGTGTATAAGTTGATTCTAAAATACTTAGGGAAATGCAAAAGGCTAAGAATATCTAAACCAGCTGCACCCCAGTGGTGCATGACAGTAATCCCAGCTACTAGGGAGGCTAATGTAGGAAGACTACAAATCCAAGGCCAACCTGGGCAACTTTGCGAGACCCTTAAAAAAAAAAAAAAAGTGTTTAAAGGCTGGCAAGGATAGCTCAGTGGTAAAGCACGTACCTAGCAGGCATGAGGTTCAATTCCCAGCACCAAAAAAAAAAAAAAAATCCAAGACATTCTTGAAAAACTACAACTTACTTTTAAACATGTTATTTCATGTTTTTAAAAAAATCTTGAATGTATCAAATATTTTGCAAATGTTTTATGTTTTTGAGAAGTTCTCAATATCTTAAATATGAATCTTGTATAAAATTGGCATCAATTGAATTAAGATGTAAGTACTCTACAAATATAGTAGGATGGATGAGTATAGGAAAATAAAAACTAAACTAAAACCAAAATTAAACTTCAGTTTCTCAAAGCCTGTTTGAAACCATCCCAGTTTGTAACACTATAAATTTTACAAGCAAATAATAAAAATCTCTTAGTGAACTGTTAATTGATTAGATAAGCATCCAAGACCTGAAAGAGGCCAAGGTTGGAATTATGGTTTTAAAAATAAATAACACATGTATTGGAGATTAATACCACATGAGTGGAACCATGCCACGTGCAAAGAATGCAGTCAACAGGAATGTGGAAAATAGCAACATTTAAGGTGAACTAAGAAGGAATTTATCTATGAAGGAGACAAAAAAGCAACACTCAGAAAAGCAGGAAGAGAATCAGGAAAAATGGTGTCAAGGAAATAAAGAGACTCAGGAAGGTGTGAATGGTTATCAAATACAAGCAGAAAAGATCAAGTAAAAGAAAGATTTGAAAAGTATATCAGGTCTAGTATTTAAGATGCTAAGCTTAATCATTTTGAGAACTAGTTCAGTGACATGTTGGGATAAGAAAGACAGAAATAAACAGGTTTTAGAGTGAATAGGAGATGATAAAATGGAAACCAAGAACATCAACTGGTTTGACTGAGAAAGTTATATAGCAGTCAAGAGAGAGACAGGGCTGCAGGGAATTCCAATTTTAGGATGCAAGATTATTCATGAGTATTGTAGGCGAAGAGCCAGTCAAGAGTGATAGGTTGCACATAAAATCCCAGCGGCTCAGGAGGCTGAAGAAGGAGGATCATGAGTTCAAAACCAGCCTCAGCAACTTCAAGGCACTAAGCAACCCAGTGAGAACCCATCTCTAAATAAAATACAAAATAGGGCTGGAGAGGTGGCTGAGTGGTCGAGTGCCCCTGAGTGAAATCCCCGGTACTAGAAAAAAAAAAGAGTGACAGGTTGAAGAGAAAAGGAACAACCGACAGAGAAATTGGTAGGGTACAGGTTAAAACAAAGAAAGGCATACTGACCTCAATCAAAACTCTTAATTTTCTGAGACTGGAGTAAAGTTCCTTAAAATGGGCATAGATATAATTTGTAGATGATGAAAGAGGGAATATCAAATAAGAGAGAACTTTACAATAATTTTTTTTCACAATACAGCATAGTAAATGATCATATTGGGTTATGTGGATGAGATTATGTGTGGTTAGAAGTGATAGGTTTGAAAGTTTCTAGCTCTGGGTTTGGGCACATTCAAAATGCAAGTACCAAAAAATATAAAAATATGTTACTGACATTTAATCATCTTAATTAGAAGTCCGTAGTTAGTTAGGCAGTTCCTAATTTTGTATAGTGGGATCTACAATGCCATCAAGAAACCAGGTGCTTTGGTCTGAATGTGTCCTCTGCAAATCTGTATGTTAACTAACCCCCAAGGTGTGACTATTAGTAGGTGGGATCTTTGTGAAATTATTAGGCATCATGAATGGGATTAGTGCCCTTATATTATAAAAAGTTCCTGAGAGTTGTCTTTTTCTCTTCTACCATATATACACAGTTAAAAGACACCATCTATGAACAAAGCAGGCCCTCACGAGACAGAATCTGCCTGCCATCACCTTGACCTTGGGCTTTCTAATCTCCAGAACTGATAAATAATCCTATTGTTTATAAGATACTCAGTTTATAATATTTTTGTGATAGCAATATGAACAGATTAAGACATCTGGGTCTTTCTACCTTTTTCTCTAAAAACTGTTTTTAGTCCTTAGGTTTGTTACCTCATGCTCAGGCATCACCTCAATATCAGTGTCTGAAGCTGGAAGGGGAAGATAGAGGCAAAAGACAAAGATCTTTCTCTTTAGGTAGGAGGAAAAACTTCCAAATACCCTTCCTGACCTCTTTCCCAGCAGACATATCATTTTATTTCATTGGCCACATGCTAACTTGGAGAAGTGTGGAAAAGCTGTGCTCCTGTGTTCTATGAGAGGCAGGCAGGCAAGCGGGCAGGATCCAGCTGAAGTTCTTCAAAGCCTGAGTCTCTCAGCCCTTTTGCTACTACCTCTTTTTTTTCTTTATTAGTTGCTCAAAACATTACAGTGATCTTGACATATCATACATTTGATTCAAATGGGGTATGAATTCTTATTTTTCCACGTGTACAGATTGCAGTATCACATTGGTTATACAGCCACGTTTATAAATACTGCCATACTAGTGTCTGTTGTATTCTGCTACCCTTCCTATCCCCACCTTCCCTCCCATCACCTCTCTACCCAATCTACTGTGACACATTTCTCTCTCTGCTACTGCTACTACCTCTTCAAGAAAACCTTTTGTGTTTATGCTCCGTTATTCCATCTTGAAGCATTTCTTTTGTATAATAAACTAGTTTAAGTTCATGTTTCATAGAAATTTCTATTCTCTTTGCTTGCCTTAACTACTTGACATCATCATCATCATCATCATTTTCATTGTTAGAAAACTCACAGGGGAAATCTAGTGAATATCCTTCTTAGAGACTCTAATTTTTAAAATTGTTTGAGATGCTTCTCCTTGAAGCACTGAATGGCATTTTTTTTTTAGGTGGAAATTGGGTCATGTGTTTGCTTAGAAATCATCGATTTGCAAGCTTACTAAATTCTTACCAAAAGGTTTATGTCCTTCCCATTGTACACACAGGTACAAGCAAAGTCTGGGAGGAAGAAATTAAAACAAAAAGCCTACTTTGAAATGTTTGGGAACAAATTCCATCTCTCAAAAAAATGTTTCATTATATTTAGTCAGAAGAATAAAGAAGTGAAACAGCTAATGAATTGAGGGAAAAAAAAAGATGTAAAGCACATTTTAACTGAAGCATACTAGGTTTTAAATACTCTTTAGAATTTGGTGTTATGTATTTAGAACAGGGAATCAATGTCCCAATACTTACCATATACCAAGTGCTTCCTGAAAGGAAGTTCTGTTTTATTAGAATATGTAGATTATTTATGCTAAATATTTTATTGCCTTTTTTTTAATCTGTGGTTGTTAGTAGTTTAAAAAGAGACTTCACTTTTCAAAATTTTTGAAAATTATATAGGCAGTCTGCATTAATGCTGTGTTGGAGAAGGTAAAGCACATTTTCCAAGAAGAAGAATCCATAAGGCAAAACACAGAGAGTGAAAATTTTAGAAAAGCCTTTTCAGAGCCTGTGATTTTGGAGCCTGCATTTCCTGAAGGTGAAATCAAAGCAAAACCTTACAGGTCATTGTTGGAGAAGCCAGACAACATTTCAGATCTCCCCAAGCTTCCTGCTAATAAGCAGAGTAATAAGATCCAGGTTTTACATTCGGTGTTTGACCAATCAGCTGAAATAAATGAAGAAATCTAAACACAAACATCACTGCAGAGACCTTGAATTATCTATGAAAATGGCACATTTCATCTGACAAAACTAGGAAGCTAGTTTACATATACCAAATGCTCTGCTCTTAAGAAAAAAAAAAAAAAAAAGCTCCAGGGTGAGGATGGGGGATACTACTAAGCAACTGTCATTCTCTAGTATTTATATGGTAGAGAAAATAAAATGAATCTTGATGTATAATAAACATATGAGTATCAGTATTTTTAATGAACAAAAAAATTCTCCTTTTGGTGGGTTAGACTTTATACCAAGGTTTATAATATCAGCATATTTATAATACTTTTATTAAAGATTTGTTTTTGGTGTCTGAGAGGAAAAAAAATCCCTTTTCAGGGATAATAAAAGGATATTTATTTTCTATCTGAAAGCTTCACAGTTTGAGTCTACCTACCAATTTTTTAACAAACTTACTTGTAAAGTTATGAAAGACTTCCAATTCACAAATGCCATAAAATATTATTTATAAATCTGATAAGATTTCTGTATATGAAGACCCCACACACACCTTTTTTTATTTTTTTCTTTTTTTAAGAGATTAGGTTTCACAATGTTACCTAGGCTGGTCACAGACTCCTGGGTCCAGGAATCCTTTTGTCTCAGCCTCCCAAGTAGCTGGGACTATGGGTGCCAGCCATACTGTACCAGGCAATGTTACCTTTTTTTCTGACATAAATTTAGAACCAGAAACCATTATTGCCATTGACTCCTAAAAACAAATGCTTTTGAAACTGGCCCTGCAAACAAGGGTGATAGTGTTTGCTTGCAGGAGACATTTTGGTTTCTTCTGTGCACTGTTCCCTTACCCCAGTGGGGACTGAATCCATGGGCACTCTACCACTGAGCTATATCTTCAGTTCCCCCATCTTTTATATTTTGAGATAGGGTCTCACTAGATTGTCCAGGCTAGCCTCAGACTTGCCATCCTCCTGGCTCCATCTTCTAAGCAGCTGGGATTACAGGCATGTGCCACCATGCCTGGCTCTTCTGTACATTTTAAATTGTGAACTTGTGATCAAGACCTTAGTGGTCATTCAAGGATTTGCACCTGATATAATAGGCACGGATGAACCCACCTCAGAGATGGCACATTTTCTATACCTGGTGAGTAGCTGCTGTTATAAACAATATTTATAAAAGCCTCAAACTCTCTTGTTAATAACCTGAGAAGTCAATAACAAATGTATTACTTCGTGGTGCCCATATTCCAACAGGAAACATAATAATATATAGCAAAGGGCTATATAATATATATACATACATACATATATACATATATTACTATATATAGTAAGAAGTCTTTTTTACATACCACATTCACTATTTTTACAAATAACCAAGAGGCCAAGTAGGCCCCTTAGAATGTTAAGCATTATATTCGAACTCTTAATTTGAGCTTAAATCATGAAGACTGCCATGCATTGAGACTAGGTTCCATTCTTAACAGTATTGAATTCATAAGATACCCATTACATTCTACAGTGTGTTGCTGAGTTTTGCATAATTGGCATCCAGAGTGTTATTTTTAATACTTATGCTCTGTTATTCCATCTTGAAGCATAATTGGCATGATTGGCATCCAGAGCGTTATTCTAAATAGAATAGCACTGGACATAAATAATGTAGTTAAATCAGGGTGAACCACCTGTTGTGCACACATGCACAAAGTTTTCTAAAATAAAAAACAAAACAAAACAAAAAACTTTTATTTAATCTGAGCACAGTGGTGAATGCCTGTAATCCCAGTGGCTAGGGAGGTTGAGGCAGGATCACAAGTTCAAAGCAAGCCTTAGCAACTTAGTGAGGCCCTAAACAACTAAGGGAGACCTTGTCTCAAAAAATAAAAAAGAGATGGAAATGTGACTCAGTGTCCCTAGGTTCAATCCACAATACAAAAAAAAAAAAATTTTGGATGTATTCTGTTGGTAATCCTTAAATCATACAAAATACATGAACTTTTAAACTCTCATAGATATGTGATTTTTTTTTTTTTTTTTTAAAGAGATTCCTCTGAACCAGAGTAAATCTCTGTTCTTTTTATTTATTTTTTAGTTTTAGGTGGACACAACATCTTTCTTTGTATGTGGTACTGAGGATCGAACCCGGACCGCACGCATGCCAGGTGAGCGCGCTACCGCTTGAGCCACATCCCCAGCCCTAGATATGTGATTTTTAAAGATAAGTAATAATTGTACCTGTGTTGAAAAAAATCATCTTTGGTATGGAAGCAAAGTTATTGTAAAAATATTTCCACACATACACAACACTTTTCATTGTCATATATTTTTATCAGGAAGAACTCCGAATTACTTTGAAGTCTCCAGTGGCATAAAAATCAGAGTCACACTTAAAGGGTTCCTTAGAAAGAGTCACATAAATATTCCCATTATCCACTGTCACTCTATGAATCCTTTGCTTTATTCCTTTGGAGCACCACTTGGGTTTTGCCGATGGATCTTTAGGGTTTTTAGACTGGTATAATCCTTCTCCTGTTGCCAAAGTAATTTTGTATTTATGCCAGGGGCAAACTATACATGGTCGTCCATCAAAATCCTGGGGAAAGAAATAACTGATTTAATAGTCTGGACATTTCAAATGTTCATGATAACCTTGGACTTAGTATAAAATATATGCAGAAAAGCTAAGTTAAAGAACAGGTCAGCTTTTATTCCCCCTCCATTTACAAATTATTCAGCATAAAGCATAACCTAACTGGAGAACAGTCATTAAGTCCTTTTTGCAGTTGATTAGAAACCCAGTGTGTTAGAGCTCTATCAGAAGATGACTTGCTCAGGCAAATTATACCAAGACTGCAGCATTTTTATCTGTCAATGTCATCTCTACAGAAGTGGGGGAAAGGCTTCCAGCACTTCTGAAGGAACTTTCAGTAGCTGCTGGAAGAACTGTAAGTTCCAGATATGAATTCAGGAGGAGTTATTAAAAGCGGGAGTGCAAATGTTAATTGAAAAGCAATTTGTGATTCCAACTTTGTAACTGTGTCTTAGTGAGGTTCTTCTCAAACTTGAAGGAGAATGGGAATCATCTGGGTCTTGTTTAAATGCAGTGCTGTTTAAGTTCAGAAAGCTTACAGCATTGGTGCAATATTCTCCATGCCAATATTCTCCAAGACTTCTGGGCTGTGGATCACACTTTGGATAGCAAGGTCTTAAAGCTCTCATTATGAACTGAACTGGGGGAAATTCTGACATTATGATAAGTAGGTGCTTACATTTTTCCTCTACACAAAATTTAGAAATACTGATTTTTTCCCCCTCATAGCACCATCAGCAAACACATTTTCATAATTTAAACATACATATGTCCTTTAACATGAGGACAGGTATAAACCAGGTGGATATCAAGTTAAATTCTGTTTTGTTTGTATTTTTTTCCTCGTGGTACTGAGGATTGAACCGAGGACCTCATGCATGGTAGGCAAGCTCTCTCTCTCTACCACTGGGCTACATCGCCAGGCACCAGGTCGACATCAAGTGTAGAGACAGTGAAATGCTAAGTTCAGGTTTGTATTTTGTGCCAGTTATAGATAGAGAAGTAGAGAGACAGGGATAGAAGAAATAAGGTGATTAGTTTGGAATACATGGAGGCAAAGGCAATTCCTCCATTATTCTTTAGTTAAGACTTCAAAGTGTAATTTCTTTAAAATTTTTAAGAAATATTATTTTATAAAATATATGCTCATTATAAAAACACACAAAGTATAAAGTAAAAAGTATATATTCTTTTTAATATAAAAATGAAATATCATTAGAAGTACTATTCTAGGACTTATAATTTTATCACTCACAAATACACTGTTTTTTTTTTTTTTTTTTTGTTCCTCTGTCCACTTACCAACTGGGTTATTTTAACAAATACACTGTTAACATTCCTCAATACCAGCACATATAGTTCTGCCTCATTAATTTAATGGTCATACGGTATTCCACAGCATGACTGTACTACAATTTACTTAATCAGCTTTCTATTGTTAAAATGTTTAGGTTGACCTCGATGTTTTGTTATAATACACAATGCTAAAATGAACCTTTCCTATAAAGAGACAAACAATGTGCAATTATATTCATAGGATAGATATCTCAGATTATAATTGTTAGGTCAAAGACATGCATAGTTCTTATATTATCTGCAAAATGGTTTTCCTTACATTGTAGGGTTGTGAATACCAAAAATATCTGCAATTACATTAAAGGCCCTGAGATATAATTAAATCCAAATATACATTATTTTTGAATAAAGAATGAAATGGGAGAATGTAAATAGGAAACATCTGAGTTTTTTGAGAATAAATTCTATACATACCTCTATTTCTCCCAAATGTAAAGGTCCTCCTGAATCTGAAAAGTAATTGAATATTACATGTAGTCATTTAAAACCCTGAAATTTGATAGTTTTATGACTTATAAATACAATTTGTATAGAAAAAATAAAAATAAAATCTTACGATAACAGCGAATATCCATAGCATGATATTCTCCTCTATGGTAGAAAATGACCACTTCTCTGTCATGGACAACAGCTGTCATTCTTTCAGATTTTTTAATGTCATCTTCTCTGCCAACACAGACAGAAGAATATTCCTTATCTTCAGGATCTTGTACAGACCCATCAGGATCCATGCTAGTTGGGGTGGAGGAGGAAAGAAAGAAAATTGCAAATGGTCTATTTGACTACAACTCACAGAGACATAATAAGAGTCTGGGTTTCTTGACTAATGGGTGCATTTTCCTGTAACTATATGAAAGAAAACACTTAAAAAAATTCTTGATTATAGTTAGTCATTACTTGAGTTAGAGACTCCTTATGTCTGCCAAACTTAGAGAGGGCTCCCCCATTCTAAGGCTAGACTTGTATTAGATTAATTTTAATGCTTAAGATGGAAATTTCAGAACTACTAAGGCATGGATTAAAGATTTATGACTTCTTCACTCCCTATTAATTTCAATTCTAAACAACATCTGGTTACAATCTGCATTGTTTCCAGCCTTCTGCTGAAGGTAGCCTGAAGAGTCTTGAGCCCTTTGACTATGAAGGCTCACTTATTTTTGTCTATAGCACATAGCCACCTCTTCCAGGCACAACCAGAAAACTACTCTAAAATGAGCAGATAGGTATAAATGGAATTCTTTCATTTTCTTACCTTATATAAAAATTGTCATTACTACTTTGGCTTTATTTTGGGTATTCAAAGAGATTCTCCTCAATTAACTTACAGAAGGGAATTTGCAGGTATCATGTATTTTTTTTCTCAGCACAGATATTCAGTCTATTTATTTGAAAGTGATCCAAAAACCCTTTTATATACTTTGAGAATAATATATTCACAGATTATTAATTCCATGTTAGAAGGAAACATCAAGATACATCAGGGTCAGTGGTTAGGCACCTGAATACATCTGGCATAGAGCAGCTCACTCCACAATGCGGGCAACAGAAAAGGGGCTGCCTATCACATTATGATATAAGACCCTGCAGAACCTGGACCGTTTTCTTGGAACAGACCGACTTCAATTCCTTTATTATGTGACAGAAATTAAAAGTTTATGACAGATGAAAGAAATTAAAGTTTCATATAGCATCTAATCACAACCTACTTTTATCTTTGGAACACTGACAGACAAATTTTTCAATCTATTTAGGAGGAATGTAAGTTTGAAAACAAAAAGCAGGTAAAATTCTCAAGGAGTGGCTATCAATAATAATCTTTATCACAGCAGATTTTTAAAACAAAAAACTTGCAACAGAAGTTCTTCAACTTCTCTTATATAGTTCTCCTTCCTTGTTACAGATAGTCATTCATGATAAATAGTAGAATGTTAGATATTTATCAGTCATGACAAATATTTTCTGAACATCCACTATGTGATTGGCACTTCAGGAAATAAGACATAAAAGTTTCTGCCCTCCAAGATAAGTAGAAAGTGCCCCAAGATGGTCACTAATAGAACTTAGTAGTATCAGTGACCAAACTAGTTGGAATTGTTTTATTAAACAAAATTATCTAACTCATGAATTTTACTGTTTAAAAGTCTTACTAAACAGTAAAATTCATGAATTTTATTCTGAACTGTAATGACTTTCAAATAAACTATATAGGTTCTTGCTATCACCTATTATACATGCCTGCACATGCATGATTTTTTTGTGTATTTGTGTGTGTGTGCATTTGGGAAAGGTAGTTTATTCTTCCTTTCACTATAGTTTTCCAAGAATTTTATATTATCACACAACTAGCTACATTAATATTTTTGATAAATGGTGAGACTGATAATAAGTAAATGCATAAACAACTATACATTATAAAAGCCAAGAAGAAAATAAACTGAGTAATATAAGAAAGTAATGGGAAGGTGATTTTGCTAAGAATAGGCAAGAAATATAACCGAGATAATAAATGGTTGAAACCAAATGCAAATGAGTTGACATGCTAAGAGCTGGTAGAAGAAAATTCTAAACAGAAGGAATGGCAAATACAAAAACCTGAAGAAAAGAAAGGGCATGGTTAATCTGAGGAACAGAAAGGATTCTGGAACATATTGAGCAAGATTGGCATAAAAACACAAGCCAGGTTGTGCAGTGCTGTGTGGGGGCTTTATTCTAAGAGCAATGGGGAGCTACTAAAGGATGTAAAGCATGATCTATTTTTAGACATGATCTATCTTTTTAAAAAAATGCCCTGGGTTCTATGGAGAATGAATTATAGCAGAAGAAGAATAAAAGCATGGGGATATGGGGGTGGACAGAAATTCAGTAGATAAAGGAGAATGGAAGGAAGGAAGGGGGAATAAGAAAGACAGTGGAATCAATCTATTATAACTTTCCTATGTACATATATGAATACACCACAGTGAATCTCACCATCGTGTACACTCACAAGAATGGGATCCTAATTAGAATAGATATATTCCATACTTGTATAATTATATCAAAATGGATTCTACTGTCATGTGTAACTAAAAAGAAACAATAATAATAATTTTAAAAAAGAACTAAAGCATGGAAATGAGAAAGTTACCTTAGTGGACCATGGGAGAGAAGGTGGCTTAGACTAAGGTGTTTCCTTTGTGGGGGAGAAAAAAGTAACAACAATAACAATGGCATAATGAATTACACTAAATGCCAGACTCTATTTTAAGACTTCATTGATTTACTTCTTCAATCCCCCAACATATTACTTTTTTTGGTGGTGCTGGGGATTGAACCCGGGGACTTGTGCATGCGAGGCCGGCACTGTACCAACCCCCAACATATTACTTAAAAGGTATTATTTAATTTTACAGTGAGGAAACTGAGGCACAAAGAAGTTGGGCTGATGGAGTGAAGGCGCTAAATAAAAAATAAATAGAGATGGTTTCCAAGTTTTAGGTTTATGCAGTGAGGTGAAATGCTGTGCCGGTGACTGTGACTGTGATGGGAAAGACTGAGAAAGAATGGTAATTTTACAGCAAAGGAAAATCAAGCACTTGCTGTTTTTTGTACATACTGAATTTGAGGTGCCTAAGAGACATCTGAGTGGAGATATCTAGGCAGCAGTCAAACATAGGAGACTAAAATTGAGGATGACTAAAGAAAGAGAATCTTAGTAGTTTTCTAGTTATAGAGTTCAATGCAACCACTTAGGGAGCACAGATAGGGGAGAAGAAGGTCTAAGAAAATTCCTAAAGCACTTTAACATTTGAACATTTAGAGGTTAAGAGGATAAGAAGCTAAATAGAGGCAGACCACTAAGTGTGTATAATTTATTGCTAATCAAATTAAATTCCTTCACTGCTTTCTTATCTTTTCTGTATTTTCTTCAAATTGCAAGTAGGTGATAACATGCAGGGGTCATGGAGAGGCAGTTAAGGAGGTAAAAATCTTCTCTAATGCTGGCTACCTCTGTGTGTTAAACAATAAATGATATACATGAAGTAAACATGGGTTTCCTAGGAAATTTACTCCCAAAACTTTGGTTTTCATTAAGAGCTGGGTCTACCCTTTTTTCTTTGTAAATTCACTTCATCCCTATACCACTACTCTCCTAGAAATTAAATACTGGTTAATATTCAAGTAAGGGCTTACATTTAGAATAGAAACACTATAACTCATTTTCCCAATATTTCTAAAGTTTATCTTCTATTTCACTCTATAATGTCCTTTTGGCCAAATATAGAAATTAAAAGGTCAGGGAAAAAAAATAACCAAGTTCAAGAAATCTCTCAATAGTATTCATAGGGACAGACTCAGGGTTCTGGTTTGATCCAATCCTTAAATCAAAATGATGATTCAGTTTCAGTTCCATTTTAACAATTTAATCATTTTTTAAAGATTGATATGATTTTTTTATACCTTTTTATACCCTGTATAACATTTAGCAGCCATTTTTCAAAATTCAAAGTTAGAGACATATTCAGCCTTAAAAATGGTATATGTGGGCTGGGGATGTGGCTCAGCGGGTATAACACTTGCCTAGCATGTACAAGGCCCTGGGTTCGATCCTCAGCACCACATAAAAATAAATAAAATATAAAGATATTGTGTCCAACTACAACTAAAAACTAAATATTTTTTTAAAAAATGGTGTATGTGTACATTTCCAATCCCCAAATAACTCTTTGGTCATCTTACAAAACCTCACTAGATGTTCATGATAGATATAAGCCTTCTCAAACAAAATATAACTACAATTCTAAAGGTTGTGACAAGTCTAGGTTTTTATTTAATACTTTCATTTTCAGTTCCATTTTAACAATTTAATCATTTTTTAAAGATTGATATGATTTTTTTATACCTTTATTTATTTTTATGTGGTGGGGGGGATGAACCCAGTGCCTCACACATGCTAGGTGAGCGCTCTACCACTGAGCCACAGCCCCAGCTACAAAAATTTAATCATTTAATGGATTCATTTAACCAGAATGGGAAACTACAGAAAGGCCTAGACAACCTGAGAGGAATCCAACCCTGCCTACTACAAGATAAGAAATTACATATGGAAAAGGAAAGGAAGTAAATAAAATGATGTCCCTTGTTATCTGTAGAGACTCAGGTGCTGTTAAACACTAAGACATTTGCTATGAAATGCTCATAGTAAGCATAATATACTTGCAACTGGGGTTGTGGCTCAGTGGTAGAGCACTTGCCAAGCTGTGTGAGGCACTGGGTTCAATTCTCAGCACCACATATAAATATATGAATACAATAAAGGTCCATCAACGTCTAAAAAACTTTTTTAAAAACATAATATACTTGTCTATAATTTAATGTATTTATCAAAATTATGGATCTCAAATCAACTTTAAATAAATACCGCAATTTTAAGAAGCTCATCCTTTATAATCAATAATCTCTTCAAATACAGTAATTTGTCATAACTCATAGAAGTTGGCACAAGGTACTTTTTTCCTTGATCAACAGGCCATTTAAATTTTATTTAAGTCCAAGGTTAACATCTGACCTATAAACACATATATCCAACTCTTTTAAAGGGGGCACTTGGACCTAGCTTAGAATGGTTCTGAACTATAGATCCAATCCTCTCCCAACAAGAAGTTTATGGAAGTGTCAAGGGGCTGCAGGCTTTTTGCAGAGGATTTTCATGATGGCTTCTCTGTTTATTTAAACCTATACAATGGATTAAAAACGTTACAATGTTAGAAGGAAATGAGCATAAGTCACTTTAAAAGCAAGTTTATAAAACAGAAATTATTACAAGTAAAGTCTCTATGTGAGTGTGTTAGGAGTAAGGTTTAGAAAAAGGGCATAGACCATTGTTTTGAGAGGGGTAGTTCTGAGCCATGTGGAAGACAGATATCAGATGTCATCATTAACTGGGCTCCAAACTGAGGTGGAGAGAGGAGCAGGGGAGGGAGGGCATTTGGGGAAGGGAGGAGAAGAGAGGGAAGAGAGGTGACGGGAAGGGGGAGGAGGAAAGGGAGAAGAGGAGAGAAAGTGCAAGCATATCAGCATGGAGAGGAAGAGGCATGAGTTTAATTCAATGTATAAAGGAAAGTATTACACAAATTAAGTTTAGGAAATTACAGGAGTATCAAATATGTATTCTGGAGTTTGCCCTGTTAATCCTTGCTCTAAGTAACCTAGTTGGTCTGGAGGTATATAGCTCAGTGGTTGAGGATATGCTTAGCATGAATAAGACCCTGGGATCAATCCCAACATGGCAAAAATAAAACAAACCTATAATTAATCTAATTATTGAAAAAAGAATAGAAAAATAATACAAACATTATTCTAAAAATTTATCTCACAATAAAAAAATATTGTTCTTTAGAAAAGATGATGAGTACCACAAGCATGATTTTCTATATTACTTATGACCATCAGGAGGCTAGAATATTATCTTTCTAAACAGTCACCTGGTTTTACTTGATTTTGGCAGGTACCCAAAATATACAAATTGCTAGGTGGTAGTATTTACCTTCAGAGTTGGGCGTGCAGCCTTTATTATATTTTGTTACAGAACACACAGAGGGGCAGCTATGATAAGAAAAATGAAAAAAGAGACAAATGAAATGAATGAGGAAAAAAGGCTTAGGAAAAAAAAGGCAAAACAATATGAATTTGCAACACATACAACCAACAAAGGATTAAGATGCAGAATATAAACTGGGCAGAGTGGCACATGTAATTCAGTGAGACCCTGTCTCTTAATACAAAAAAGGACTGGGGGGCTGTGGCTTAGGGATTGAGTGTCCTTGAGTGTCCCCAGTACCAAAAGATGCTCAAACTCAGAAGGAAAATGCAAAGGAAATGCAAAGCAAAGACACAAATGGGACATTATTTTCCATCCCCCAGAATGGTAAAAATTACACCAAGTATAAGCAAAAATATTGAGCAACCACTAGTGATGACAAAAATTAATGCTCAGTTTGATACTACCCAGTAAAGCTGAACATATACCTAACCCAATAACCCCACTATAAGTATATGCCAGAGAAATGTGCACAGGCACACCAGGCACAAGAACAACTGTAACAGAGACAAGGAACTCAAAACCCATCAGGAGTAGAAGGAGTAATTTTTATGTTTACTCAATAGAATGCTATAAAGCAGTAAAAATGTATTGCTACATCAATTTAGATTATTTTCAAAAACAACTGCAAATGAAAAAAATTCTTAAATATTTCTAGGTAGACTTCCATTTTTATCAAGTGCAAAAGCAAGCAAAACCAAACAATATATTATTCATAAATAAATGCTTATAGGGCAAATTTGTAAAGAAAAGCAAGGGAGATGACAAACAAAATTTCTTAAATGTTTCAAAATATCTAGTCAGTTCTTATATTTGAAATTACTTCTGGGGGCTGAGGCTATAGCTCAATGACAGAGCACTTGCCTGGCACATGTGAGGCACTAGGTTCAATCCTTAGCACCACATAAAATAAAATAAAATAAAGGCATGCTGTCCATCTACAACTACAAAAAGAAAAAAAATCAAAGAGAAAATGTTAAAAAAATTACTTTTCAATATTTAAATTGTATCCTACTTTATGTCTATGTTGCAAATGACCTAAAACCCAAGCAAAAAGAAGAAAAAGTTGTACTTTATACCCTCATAGAATGTGCTTACACATAGATCATGAATGAACTATTTAAATTTTGTATAGCTTGTGTCAAAACTTATCACTAGAGGAAGAGTAGATGAAGTGTCCCGCCCACCCTCCCCCCATGGTAGGGGAAAAACAAGTATAGAAATACTAGTATTTAATAATACCAAAATACAAGAGATGTAAACTAACACCAAAAGTTAATTAAGCTTGTCCAAATAAAGTCCTTCCCTAAATTTCAGTTTCTTCAGTCTTTGCAAGGTTTGCCTCCAACCAATAAAAACTGTGGTGAACTTTAAAGGGACTGATAAGAAATGAACAGAGAAGGCTGGGGCTAAATGATAAAGGTTTCAGAGAATTACCATTACAGCCTTGCATTATGCTTAGGAAAGTATTATCTCATCCTTCAAATAATAGTTTCCTTTATGTATCATAAGTGGTAGTCTTTATTTATGATATTTGATGACTATTTATAACTAATACTCATATTATTCTTAATTGAATACTGTGAATATCATGGTCCATTCAAACAATAGTGAGTCCATGTGTTCACTTTAATTACGGTTACTTTGATGAATTATTCATGTACTCCTACACATTGTCTCTATTTTAGTTTAAGATCTTTTTAAAACTTATTTTTTAGTTTTACATTGACAGACAAAATTGTATTTATTTACCGTGTACAACATGATGTTCTGAAGTATATATTTTCTGTGGAATGACTACATATAGTTAATAAATGCATTACCTCACATAATAATCACTTTGTGGTGCAAACACTTTACATCCATTCCTAGATTTTTTTCAATACAGTATTTTATTAACTATAGTCACCATGTTGTGCAATGAATAAAAAGACAGCAGATTCTTAAATGAATGCACTTACACATAGAATGTGCTTACACATAGAGAAAATTAGTCAATTTAGACAGTTTGTGGGATAGGTGAAATTTTCCTTCTGAAAAATTTAACTCTTCTATTCCACTACTGTCTTCAAAAAACATTTTTTGGTCTGTCCCTAAAATTAAGTTTCTAAAGGTGCTAACTCCATATAAAGTTACAAACTAGTTAAATGGATCCTCAGTCACTATTAGGTTCTATTACAAAATAGGTAATACATTCAGATTAAATTTAAAGAAAAAAGGGCCTGGGGATATAGCTCATTTGGTAGAGTGCTTGCCTCACATGCACAAGGCCCTGGTTCAATCCCCACCACCAAAAAAAAAAAAAAAAAAAAAGATAAATTTAAAGAAAAATACTTTAACTCCATTAAGTTTCCATAAGACACTGGAGACAAAAGAGACATGAAATTAAAGGTACTTACTTGATATTCCTCTTGAGCAAGGACAAAGGTGCTTTTACTAAGTCTGGGGACTTGGCCCACACATTATCAAAATGTTTATCACCAGGGTGACACCCTTGCTTTTAGGTTCAGGCAACAGAAATGCCTTGGACAGTAGTTTTGTATCTCTTTGAATGACAGAATAACAATAGATTAAAAACAAAACAACAACAACAAAAAAACCCAGCTATCCTCCAGTGAGTGCCTACTGCTTGGCCTCTTTTCATATAGTAGGCTCAATGACTCTCACTAAATTGATGATTAATGATCGAAGATATGAGTAAGTACTAATTAGGTAGACCTACATTTCTTATAAAGCATGCAGCCTGCAAGTAAACCATCCTTTTAGCAATGCAAAGATTTACATCAGTTATGTATATAATGGTTATCTTTATATTGGTGGTATATACATGTATCAGGAAAAAAAGATGGTTCTGATTTTTTTTTTCTTTTTAATTTAGAAACGCTAATGTGTAAGAGCTGTAGCCACAAATGTTTAAAATGGAATACAAGCCTAATAAAGTCCTGTAGCTATTCCGTTCTGGAAACGGCCACCATCAGCTGGCATTAGCGCTCCATGATCACAGCTGAGCTCGACTTAAATCCAGGCTTTGCGTGATTTGGGGCGAATTGCTTCATTCTGCTGTGCTGCATAAGAAAGGGGCTGCCACATAGAGCATGGTGAGGGTTAAGTGCTTGAATTCACTTGAAATGATTAGAGCAGGGCCTAACCTCAGGAAATGCTTAAACTAAGTTGGTTCCTACCTCTAAGTCCTTTATAGCTCTGCCAGTTTGTCTTGAGTGACTTCAAACTGTATTTAACGTTTCAGTAAAGATGATCTGCAGTTATTAAGATCAAGCAGCAGGGCTGGGGTTGTGGCTCAGCAGTAGAGCACTCATCTAGCACGTGCGAGGCCCTAGGTTCGATCCTCAGCACAACATAAAAATAAAAGTATTGTGTCCAACTACTTCTAAAAAATAAATATTAAAAAAAAGAAAGAAAGAAGAAGTACTAGCAGCGCCTTGGATAGTCTGGTGGTTCAGATGCAATCCCATAGGCAGACTCCAGGAGACAAATATCTGGGACGAACAGGGCTGCAAAAACCCTAAAGCAGTTATTATTTTAGAGCGCACAAATGCCCAGAAAAATGTTTGAAACCACTAGGGCCGCAGGTCAGGGGTGAGGCCCAATTCCCAAGATGAACAATGTCAGGGGGCCTCTGGTGCCTGCGCAAAAGCCTGCCCTGGAGGTTAACGGTTAACCAATGCGGAACCCCTGGCCAACGCGTTCGGAGCAATAAAGAGAAGAGGGCAAGGCACAGTACAACCGCCAGCCGTCGCCGCCGGAACTCCGGGCCGCCGCGGGCCGGAAGCAGCTGGCCCCGCGAGCCCCGCCCCGCCGCTCGGCCGTCCAGCCGCGCATGGCAAGAAGAGAACTCACCGTTACGTCCTCGCTCCGCCTCGGCGAGACCCACCCGCTGTGTCCTCCGCGGGTTGCGACTGCGCGAGCCAGAGCTCTAGCCCTCGCGTCGCGCCTCCGCCGGGAGGGCGTAGTCGTCCACGTGACCCAAGAGTGCCCGCCCCGGGTATGACGACCCCGCCTGACATCCGCACGGCAAAACTGCCAGCACCTCAGAACTAACTGGCCGCCTTAATCATGTGTTTGACAAATGTGATAGGTTTACTTATTTGGTGCTTATTAACTCACTATATTTATCCAAATTTTAAATGCACCCAGCAATCGCTGTCTTAGGAATTTACCTATACAATATTTATAGAAGTTCTTCACGATGCATATAATCCATGTATAAGGATGTTTATTGCAACGAGAGAATAAGTATAGCTAAGTGATAATCAACCCAAGGAAAGGGTTAAATAAAGCACAGTAAGTCCTTAAAGTAATTATTCTCGGATATATCGACTGTTAAAAGGCACAACACAGAATATTATGTGTAGAGTACACGCCTTAGTGTAAAATTATTTATTGAGATTCAAATATGCTAGTGTGTACACAAACTTTTCTTTAAAAGGCAAAATAAATGTAATGGCTATTTGCTGGAGAGATGGAGGGTGTAGTTTTCCTATTTTGAACTTTGCATTTTTTTTCTCTTTATACTTACCTGAATTGAAAAGAAAATAAACAAATAATCCTCATATTTGTATTCAGGACTGGAAGCTAGATGACCCTGGTAGATTTTTATTTTAAGTTTCCTGGATTATCTTCGTGCAGTGGTTCTTATCTATGCCTTATAGTTACCTGTGAGTTTTTAAAGTCATGATACCCAATCTGCCCCAGAACACTGAAATAAAAATTTTAGTGGGGAGGGAGATACAATATATATCTTTTAAGTTTACTAGCGATTCTAGTGTGAACCCAAGGTTGAATGCCACAGCCTGTATTTGGTATACTTAGTACAAGTATCTCTCTTAGGGATCTTTGACCCTAGGTGTCCCAATGGTCTTAGGGTAGCTGAAATCTTGTCCATTTACCCCAGTGTGCTTTATAATGCCATCTTAAAAATAAGCCTTTACATGTAAAAAGTTAAGAAGTTCAGAATAATGGTTTTGCCTCCAGTGCTGGTTTCTTCTGATTCTGTTATGTTCAATATACTTTAAGGGTGATCAGTAATATTTTGTGGGATAATTTCCCTTTTGATCATTTGTTTCACTGATTGAAACACAAATGAACCATCTAGTTTTATAATCACCAAAGTGATAAGATATATTTATTATAATTTCTATTATCTGTTGGCTGTCCCAAATTATTTTATTTACACACGGAGAGTGTTATTAGTACCTAGTTTGTGTTATTGAAGGACTAAATAAGGTTTCCCATTTTTAATGAAAAGTGTTCTTTTTTGTTTTGGCATAATATGAGCATTAAAAAGTCCAGACCTTAGATCCATTGACCTAAAATCTGACTTTGAATAAACTCAGCTCTTTAGTAAATATACTCACATATACACACAAGAAGAATGAGAGAGGAAGGGAAACTTTCTGTCAAAAACATTAATGTAGTTAGTTATGTGATAATATAATATTCTTGGAAATCTATAATGAAGGGCAGAATAAACTACTTTTTTTTCAGTTCCCAGATGCACATGCAAAAATGCACAAAATCAGCATTGCAGTAATGCACATTAGGTGACAGCAAGAACCCATAAAGTTCATGTGAAAGTCATTAAAGTTCAGAATAAAATTCATGAATCTTACTGTTTAGTAAGGCTTTTAAACAGTAAGATTCATGAGTTAGTTAATTTCGTGCAATAGAATAGTTCTAACCAGTTTGGTCACTGATACTACTAAGTTCTATCAGGCACTGTCTTGTCTTTCTACTTATCTCATTGGAACCAGTTTGTTTCTTCCTTCTTTCTTTTTTTTTAAAAAAAATCTATTTATTTGTTCTAATTAGGTGTAATAACAAAAGAATGCATTTTGATTCATTGTACACAATTGCAGCACAACTTTTCATTTCTCTGGTTGTACGCAATGTAGCGTCCCACCATACGTGCAGTTCATACATGTACCTAGGGTAATGATGTTCATCTCATCCCACCATCTTTCTTGCTCCCATACCTCCTCCTCTCCCTCCCCTTTGCCCAAAGTTTTTCCATTTTTCCCATGCCTTCCCCACCCCCCACCCTCATCTTTTTCTTTATTCTTACATTCTTTGCTTTCTGGTGTTTCTTACTTTGGCCTCCTAGTGCCACCTAGTGGTACATGGGGCATGAAGAAACTTTAGGTTGTCCTCTGAGATCTTGGCTTTTAGTATCTCCATGGATTAATAGGGACAGTTTCAAGTGTTCCTTCTTAACTTTGTGAGCCCAGCCCCTCTATACTGAGCATCAGGCTTTTATAGGTAGGGTTTTTAGGTACCATGCTCTTTTTTTTTTTTTTTTTTTTTTTGGTAGTGCTGGGGATTGAATCCAGGGCCTTGTGCATGTGAGGCAAGCACTCTACCAACTGAGCTATATCCCCAGCTCCCATGCTCTTTTCTACTTAGAGAAGTTAAAACATTGTCTTCACTAGTTTTGGGAAGGCACCTATGTGTTGCTATTTTCACTAAAGAAGTTTGAAGGGTATACACACCCATGTATATTTCCTACTCCTTTAAATCAGAAAACATTAATAATGTTGCTTTCATTAGGCCACTGTGACTCAAATCATAAAAGGGTGGCTTTAAATGTCATCTATCTTCTATGATTCCTAAACCAATGTGTCTACAGTCTACATTTGTTGTGAATGCCTACTTGATATTTTCATGTGGATATTGTGGCAAAGACAGTGGTGTTCCCTAAATAGCCCATCTACTTCCAGCTCTATGTGCAGTTTGTTGAGGCCCTGAGTTCTGGTCAGTTAGGCTGTGAGTGAAAATGTATTATGCATTCCTGGGCTGACCACAGAAGAGCTGATATGATATCTGTCCATTTGCCTCTTTTCTTTTTTTCCTGATTTAATAAGGACTTGTTTTTGATTTAAAAAAAAAAAAAAAAGGTCTCAAACATCAGGCTGTTCATAAAAGTGACCCACAGTATCAACTTTAGAAAACAAAGACTACTACACTAACTATTCTTCTAAAGATGCACTTAACATGCCAGCTCTCATTCACAAAAATACATTGTTGTATTTGTGTTGAACAGTTCTACACAGGACTATTATGTGGGGGATAAAACACATACCTCTAACTCATTGCTGCTCTCAGGTGCTACAACTAAATGAGATTGCCTTTGCAGTTAGGGAAGCAACAACTGAAATCATGTATCAATGGAAAGAACTGTACTCCCTGCATAACAAGAGATTATTTTGGAGACAACTGATAAAAGCATATATTCTTTTTATTGTGAAGTCATGAAGAGGTATCAAAATTAAAAGCAAAAATTACAGGGTAAGACTTAACAAAACTGCTAGGAGCATCAAAAGAAGTGAAAATGGTACCAGACATAGGGCAAAATGAATTAATGAACATGGGAAGGACAAAAATAGGGAGAACAGTGAGCATGTGCTGAAGATACTAGGGAGAGGATCTGGTGAAATTTTGATCTTAGACAAGAACCTAGGTAAAGAAATAATGGGATAAGATTTCTAAACCCCACTATGTGTTTAAGAGTCATGCAGTTCTTCCTCTGCCTCTATTTGATCATTTTTGATCAACTCCAGCTGGTCATCCCCCATCTTCATTATCGTCATCATCCAATAGGTCCCCCTCCTCAGCAGAGTCATCTGTACCCTCCTCAGACTCCATCTTCACATTAGTCTCATTGTTCTTTAGGGAGCTGCTTGTTTGCTCTGCTCCTTTTCAATTTTTTTCCAGGCTTTCCAAAAGAGAATCCACTTTTTGTTTTATTTGGGTCAGCTCCTTCTTAATGTCCTGAAGGTCATCTCCTTTCAACTTTCCAGACTTCAAAGAAGATCCCTGCAGTCTGCCCTTCGAATTGAAGCCACTTTTGCCCCTTCAGGAGTTGTTTCCTGATACACGCTGGCATTTAGAGGGCACCACAGCCCTAACAATAATAGGAGGAGGAGGAACTCATGCTGGATAACTATAAATCCTGTTATAATAATCCTGTTGAAAGTCATAGTCCAAGTTAAAAGAGGAGCTTAATAGAGGGGACAGAGAAGGGTGTTCTGGTATCGACCCGTACATCTCCACTGCAGATCATTTCACACCTGCCCTTCCTCTGTTCACTTTTGGTTCTGCAGCCATTAATATCCAAAACCTGCCAGCAATCATTCTGCCATCCTCTCTTGCTACACAACCCAAAGCATTTCTCTCATTTATATACTGGATGATGGCAAAAGCCCTTATGGACAGAACAACCCACAATTTTGCCATACTTTAAGATTGCCTCCACATCAGACTTCTTGACCACCAGAGTGTTGAGATTCCCAATGAATACATGGGAGTTCATGGAT